GTGGTGCTTAGTTGCTGGCTGGGGCTAAACCACGACACCGCCTTGTTTTTGGTCTGGGGATGGATGTTCTCCGTCCAGGCTGAGCTATTATTGGCTTTGCTCTGGATGATTGATACACCCCTGTCAAATGTAGACTGCATCAGTTGTAGCAGGGCATATGACTGTTACTTCTGACAAGTTAACAGGATGATGCATAAGGTGTATGTGCAACAGACCTGGTTCCAGGTGTCTTGTCCAAACTGCTTTCTGGTCTATAATTGTGCAGTTTTTAGAGGAGCATGAGGACCTGTACATGGCTGGAATAGGTGTGTTTGTTTCTCCTACAGGCTTGTTCTGCTCTTCATATAATTTAGTTGTACTGTTGTAAACCATAAATGCTAATTCACATGTATTTTGATAAAATAAGTTGTAGCCTTGAATTTGCAGTTCTCAGATAAATGAAACTCCTTTTTCTCAGTATCACTGCAGAAAACTTCTGCTTCCTCTTTCCATTCAATCTCCTTATTTCCCTTCTCTCTCCTGTCCCCCCACCCTGCTGTACCAAGATGTGTGACTGTGTGGTTTATGTTCAGCATTTCAACTTCATTACAACCCTTTCTTTGCCATGCACTGTTGAGGTGACTGATGCTTTTCAGCATGTTATTAATTTGTGGCTTTGCATATACTTTGTACATTCATGTATTTCTTGTTCTTTATTCCAGAGATGGTGATGTTGCTGGAATGGTGGTCAGGCACTGATTGCACCCTTTACACTGACCCAGAGAGTTACCACAAGTATGGGAAGGAGAATGCTATCGTAATCCTTAATCACAACTTTGAAATCGACTTTCTCTGTGGCTGGAACTTTTGTGAAAGATTTGGAGTCTTGGGGGTGAGTTTTGATTAGCATTTAAAATAAACTTCCTCTTCTTGAATGTGGAAGAAAACCAAAACAAATTCTTTGTGGATTTGAAAGTTAACCGATCTCTGCTCAAATTTCACTCAGCCACCGTCCAGACTTAGAGAGGTGAACCTAAAGCAATGCAGTGCAAGTATGTGGACTACTGAGACAGGATTGCTTGGGCATTTACAGAAATTTTTAAAGGATTGCAGTTAAAGCTGATGAAGGAGATTTTTTTTATTTTTTTTTTTTTTTAACCTGTGGAGGTCATTGCAGTTGTTTCTCTCTGCGTGCTTGCTAGGTAACTATCACAGTTCATTGTACTGCAGAAAGATGAGTTGTTCTGTGATTCTATCCCAGTAAATTGTAGAATTTGTTTGCTTTCTCCAGTGTAGTCTTACAAATCCACAGCTAGAGTTTGAGTGCTGTAGTCTCTGTCTCTCAGAATCAGAGTTGCCATCTCAAGTGAAAGCAGTAACGAGGTTATAGCTAGTAAGAGTTGGGGGAGGAATGAGTTATCCATAGTTGAATACACGATTACTTTAGGCTGGGAGTACATGTGCATATGTTTTCAGAGTTGTTCTTTTGGTTTTTCGTGTCATCTCATGGGGCTGATCAAGTCAAGCTAGCTTGACTTACTTCTGTGGTGATGGTAACATTCTCTACCTACCAGGTATTTAGGTAAGAGTTCCTCCTTCCTAAGAAAGCAGACTAATACCTCATTTTGGCAGTCTTCTGCGGCATCCTCTTCTAACTTTGCTACTGGCCACTGTCAAAAGTCCTGCCCTTGGATTGTGTGAACCTATGACTTTTTGTGGCCTTTCCTTTGGGCTCTTTGCATTTTCTGAACATTTAGGCACCACTCCAGTCACTTTCACACTGTAATAATGGCAGTCTGCTTAAAAAAAATAAAAAAGAGGCCCTAAAACTGGAGGAAAATGAACCTAAGCATTACAGGCCCTGCATATTACTGAAATGGGTGTTGGCTCCTGATTACTGAGGAACAATTCTACCATCATGTCTAGGACTTAAGCACAGAGCGGGAGGTTAGCATGAGACAGCAGGAGATGGAAGGCAACCTGTTCCTGGCGGGCAGATGTACATACCAAAAACACTTTCCCTTCTATGTGCTCGTTTTACAGTGGTGCTTTAGTGTAGTCTATCTAATTTTGTAAGCCTAAGGGCTACAGTTCTCTAAATAAAGCTGCGTTTTAGAAGGTCAGGTGCTTCTTCAGAAAGCACCATTGTAGAAAATTAAAGGATTATTTTTGTACAAACTAATAGGGGTCTACAAGGTGAAAAAATCTTGTTTTACATTGGTGCTGTGTGTTTGGATTGAATCTCATTAGCTAATATTTTTTTTATAGTTTCCCTAGGTAATCAGGATTGTGTTTTAATTTTTTTTTTATACTGTTCCCTGTGCATAAGAAAACCACGATGTAAAAGCATAGCTGTTGGACAATTACTGTGCTGCACTAACTGAAAATAATATTTTCCTGTATTTAGATGCTTGCAGTTATTACTCAGTTTGTATTTTTGCTAATCTTAGGATTCTTTTATATATGTAATGTGTTATATATGTGTTTTGGGTTTTTTTTTTTTTAAACTGTTTCAGTCTTGAGTAATGGACTGTGGTTTTACTACCCAGAAACTGTTCCAGGAAGAAATAGTTCCCATTTCCCTGTTGGGGCAACCAGTCGAGGTTCATCTTAAGCCAGGTTAAAGGAGGGAAGGAAAAGGAGGAAAAAAAAACCAAAAAGGGGAGGGTGGGGCGGCATGGATAGAAAATGACACACAGTCCGTTTTCTGAATGGATTATCTGTATTGGCATACTGGTACTTTGGGGCAGCGCGGGAGCAGATGAATGCATAGGCATGAGGGGGTGTAGCTTGGTTTGACTTTGTGTTGCCTTACATGAGTTTGCAGCGTGCGAAGCTTCAGGGTTTGGTGTGGCAGCACAATTAGGAATGTAAGAACTATTATGCTGAGGGCTGGTCTTGCTCTGTCTTGAACAGAGGCTAAAAGCAGATGTTTGGGAAAGGAGTTAACAAGAAAAAGGCAAATCTCTCTGTCCCAGCTTCCAGCATTTTGTGGCTCAGGGACTTTGTGAGCCAATGGGGTTTTATATTCCATGCTGGTTAATTTTATACTCCATGAAGTTTCTATATGCAAACTGTAGGTATCTGCCAACATCTGATGCCACAAGCTGATCTTGTGTCCACTGCTGCTGAAAAGGAAATCTTGCACATGCCATCCTGTCTCCTGCATCTGTTCTGGTGCTTGCCTGCCCTGTCTTGGCAAGTTTCAGACACCTCTTCTCTCTCTCCTGCCTTAACTAATCCGATGAAAAAAGGAGAGATGACTGGGGAGGGGGGAAGAGAACGAAGGTGAAGACAACTTACAGCCGAAGCAGTGGGGCTGATTGTGCTTGGCTGCAGCAGGCAGACAGAATGGCTTTGTTCGGACATCCAGCTGTACCCTGCAGCCCTGCCAGGCAATGGCAGTGCTCTTAATGGTGTTGAAAGCATTTGTCCAAACTCTCAGTATTTTACAGCTTGAACTTTTATTAAATGAAGCCAATAAGAACTGTGGGGGTTTTTTTTGCTTGGTTTTGCTCATTTAAAACCAAAATTAAATTTCCTTAAACCTTTATTGCTCCTTCTGGCCCCAAAAGAAAAAAAAAATCTTTCCCTTTTCATCTCTGTTTTTAATCATGATATGAAAACTGTCCCTCCTGGTCTTAGTTGCAACATTCAATCTGTGCATTGTTCTGGTCCTTCTTTTGTCTCTCTTCTTCAGTACTGGCTTTCTTGTTTCTCCTTATAGCCAAATTTCCACAGTCCCAACAGTTTATAATGCTCTATCAATATGGGTTTTGTTTGTGTTTCTTTGTGGGTTTTTTGTTTGTTTTTTAAATCAATGTGGTTTTGGTTTTATGCTGTTTGCAGCGGGAGGGGTAGGGGTGGTATAGTCTCTTGCATGCTGCTGTTAGGTTTGTGAACCTGAGTTGTCTTCTAAGGACTCAGTTCTTGTACTTTGGTGGCATGAGGTTCTCTGCTTTCATGAAGGTTTTTAAATAGCTGTGGAAGAAAATAAAGCAAAAATAACCAAAGGAGATGCTAAGAAAATAAGAAGTGTGTGTGTGTGGAGAAGGGGAAGAAAAAGAAAAGAATGGCAATTTTAACATTTATTTTACTTTTTAATTTTGTCTTTAATATGATACTTTCGGAGCACCCATTGGAAATGCTAGGAGGTACTGGGCTGACAGTACTGAATGAGAGCCAGAGATCTATTAATTTACAGTGGAGAGGAGAAAACCAGGCGAAGAAGCAATTCAATGCTCACTTTTACTCTTGCAAGTTATTGTAGCCACTGAGATTGTCTTGCTAGCTGCAGTTGGGCTCTATGCAGCTGAAGTTACTGATGTGTAATTGCAGCACCAAACCGTAGAAGATTTCTGGTTGTTTGACATTAGAAGAAGGATGCAAACTTCACAAAAACTAGAAGTCAACAAGGATTTTGGGCAAACCTGTGTTCTGCCCAAACTATTAATGACTTGCATGTGTATTCCACTTGAGTTTTTTTGTGAAGGGATTCTCCTGTTTTGTTTTCAGTCCTTGACACCCATCAGCCACACGTACCCACCTCCTTGTGCTGCCAGGCCTCAGTGATATATGCAGGAGGGAGGGAATATAGGGGTGCTTGATGCCAAGTCAGCATCGTGCTGCTGTGGGCAGCATGGACGTCCACAGGGACAGCTGAGTCCTGACTCCTCCTGACACACAGGTGGCCGCAACAAGCTGTGAGGGAAGGAGGAGCTGCACTGCTAGCTTGGCTTTCTGTAGAGTCAGAAACAGCATAGCCCCAACAGGACAGAGTTTTGGCCACACCAGTGTTTCCTAATAAAAGGCAGTGCTGTTACTATGATCCTGAGCCAGGGTGACTGTGATGGTTGTGTTGTGGATGCTCTGCTTTTCCACCCCGTGCTGGTGGAATGGCTGAGGGAGATGCCGACTCCGGTGTCTGTGTGTTGATCTGTTGTGTAAGTAGAGATGTGGTCTTGGAGACAGGTCCCTGTACTCTGCTGTGCCCTTCCCTTTTCCTGCCTGTGACATCCCAGTCCTAGGACTTACCTTCTTAGTGGTGGACAGCATAGCTACCGTATCAGCATTTAAACACATTAGTAGCATTTAGTTTCTTCAAGGTGTGTGCTAAGCATCTGTTTGAAAACAGACCCACTGGACTCCAGAGCTTGAACTCAGGACATGGGCATGTTCTGAGGAGGGAGGTGTTACTCAGGACTTACACCAGAAGCATATTAGTATGCTCCCTGCCAAGATTCACTGGACCCTTCTGCTTCATTGCTTGATCTGACCAAGCAGTGATAAAATAGCTTTTTTAGTAATTTTAGTAACCCTTTTTCTGAGATGAAGACATTTGTATTAACAAAAATTGCCTGCACTTTAAAGCTAAACCTGCTGGTTTATCTGTTCATCGTCTTGAGTTTCAAGTTATTAATGCTGGTGGTCTTTTTACCTCAGCAAATCATAAACATTATTCTGAGTGGCATGTTATATTGGCATCAAAATATATGCATTTCCAAAAGAGGTCATAGTTGTTTATTCCTTGGCAGGGTAGACAAGGCAGAAAACCTTTATGAAAAACTAGTTGTTAACTCTCTTGCTTTAAGTTTCTTGTAAAAAAAATTGCTAAGCATGTGTAATAAATTTTAACCCTAACTATCTGTCCCATATGCCAGGAAACCCAAATTTTGTTTAAAAGTTGTTTATGTTGAAGCTTGCTGTTGGAAAAACTGACCATGGCCTTAAATATATGTGTGAGTAGAGACTTTTGCTAGGTTATTGTATGGGACTGCTAGGTGTGTGCACACAGTAGTTCATTTGTACATTTTAATATATCAATAGAAGTTATGTAATTGTTCATGCAGGCAGCCAAAATCACATTATTATTATTTGCATTTAACACAGCATCTTAGCGCATGCTTGGGCTTACATTCTCTGAAGTATTGCTGTGTTACCTTTCCAACATGGAAAAGTTTTATTCAATATGAAGCATTAGAAATTAGGAGCCTAACTAAACTACTGGAACCGTAGCTTTGAGGGACTAAAGAAACATATACTTTCTGGGACATCAAGATGGAAAGATAATATGAAGGAGTGCCATATTTCAAAAATAGAGCAAACGGAATCATCAAAAGTATGTCAATGCTGAGGGCAGCCTGGAGAGCAAATAACTTACGAGGCAAATTGCTGCTGCTAATGGTTTGCAGCTACAATTAATTTGTTTTGAAACTGTGGAACAAATTTCATTAGACATCCTCAGCTTGCAGGTTGATTTCATGCTGTTTGTTGCATTCTGTGATCAAGAGGTGTTGAATAACTCAGGCTGGACATAAAAATCAAGGTTTTCTTTCTGTGACAGCATAGCTGTGCAAATGCATCTAAAGTAAGCTTGTAAAAATAATTTTGTTATGTGATGTTAGTGTGATCATTCACAAAAGGAGAACTTCATGGGTATTTCCATCTGAACAAATTTGGCCAAAAGGAATTAACCTGGATTAAAATGCTATTACTGTAGACAAGTTGTCCCCATCCAGTGATAGTTTCATTAAACATCAGTTGGAATTACACAGTTCTGAGCACTGAAAATGTTTGCCTTCAAGAAGGCAGCTTACATGGAATAAAGCAGCACTTCTAAATGAAATTTATTCTGTTGAACAAGCTGAATTTCAAGGTTAGAGGTAACTGTCACATAGCACTTTGGTAAAGGAAAAGTTAGTAGCTGAAGTCAACTAGAGCTGCATTTTTCCCCTCAGGTATTTACCCAGGAGCTGTGCATGGGTAGATGACTAAAACAGACTAGATTGTAGCTCTAGTTATTGTGAGAGAGATGGTAGCTCATGAGGGGAAGCCTAATGTATTCCTCCCACACGAGAGCAGGCTTGCCACTATAATGCACTGAAGAGTTTCCTTTCTCTAATTAGCTCTGTGTCATTAGCCTTCCTTCTACTCCTAGGATAGATGGGGTGCACAAAATAGCATAAGGTGATTTAGTTTCTTTTTATGTGCATCTAAGGAGTCATACACTCACATGTCTAAAAGAGCACTTTTAAATTTTAAAAAATGCGTCGGCACAGAAAATGAATAAGAGCATGCACTGGGGAAGAATTCAAACATCTATTCTACTTTTGTGTTTATACCTGCTATACGTGACACCTTAGCTCACATCATCATTTATTTGTTCCACTGGGGAAAAGAACAACGGTGGCAACTTCTCTCCTGCCCCTTGTGTAACTCATATGCTTTTTAAAATATGCAAAATATTAGAAAATAGCTATGGTGAGTGAAATTGACTTTAGTTTGCTTTTTAGACTAGGATTCCTGTGTTTTAAAGTCTGACAGGGAGGACTGTTAGATTGTCTTGTCTGACTCTCTTCTCTGGAGTTCTTGTACATCCTACGCAGAGCACGCTTACATTTGTTTATGGTAGGTCTTATGATACTGAACCCTTACTATAATAAACTTTAAGAGCATGGGGATTATTCTGGTTTTTGGGGGTGACACTGTTGCTGTTTGCCTCATTGTGCAGTGGCTTGCACTAGGCTGCGGCTGACAGCTGCCCTGGTTGTGGCTGAGGTGGACAGTAGTTCCCTAAGGTTCTAGCCCTCCCTGGTCAGCTAGAAACATGTTGCATCTGTTGGGGTTTCTTGGGGCAAAGCCTTGTCTCAGCTGTCTTCCTCAGGCATGTATGGGGTGTATGAACTGGTCTGTGTGCTTTGGATGGAAGCTATACTGTACATGGCCTACAACAAAAAATGTTCTTTGGAGGCTTTTAAAGATATATGCTAGAACTATTTCCATTTTAAAGATATATGCTAAAACTATTTCCATTTATGTTGGAAATAAGAAAATTACTTGTATTAAGAGTAACTGAGAAAATGAGAAACAGTAGTATGGGTAAAAAACAGAGTTAAGGGAAGTGGTAGGAGTAGAGCCGGTTTCTCTGTGGCCAATTTGGAGAGCTGAAAGAGGAGACTGTGCTCAGCGTTGCTGCTGCCATGCAATAGGGACTAATGTCCAACATGGCTTGAAATTGAAATGACAGAAAGTGTGCTGCATCCTGCAGCTGCTCCTTGTGGGAGAGCTGGGTTTGGAGTCCTGATCTGGGCCCATCACTGAAATTTTTAAATGATCAAGAGGGAGCGCTTTATTATGAAGTGTTAAATCATTTGGCAAAAATGGTTCCTGCATTCTTAGAAACGGAATTGTGTCATGTCGTCTTCTGCTCTGCTTCTGTGTAACGCGTGCTAGTGAAGCTGTGTGATGTGCACTTGCCTTCCAGTCTTATGAGCTTTTAGATAGCTTAATTATTTAAGGTATTTTCCTTCTCAAGGAAGGAGAGCAGATGAGAGAAATGAGCTGAGATAAAGAATTAGGTCAAGTCTCTTCCCCTACTAACCAAATGAACAACAGTGATCAAAAAAATAAAAGCAAATAATCTCTGTTGATGGTAATTTCTACAAGTAAGTAATTCCTACTAGTCAAATGCGATGTCCTGGAACCCATCTGCAGAGCACTTTGAGGTAGCTTATAATGATATCGTGGATAGAAACTGGACTGTAATTGTTCCACCAATTCTCTTAAGAAAATGTCACTGTTTTTCAGGAAATGCTGAAGCAACAATTTCTATATATGCACACACACGTGCTATTTTATTCTTTAAATAACAAAGTGAAATGTAAGACAGCTCACCAAGGCAGGCTGGCTTGGAAGACAGGAAAGGAGCAAGTGGAATCAGTTCTTGTGCCCAAAGGGATGTCAGTCTGAGATGATCATGGAGTTAAGTTCTAGAGTAGGATTTGAGATTTGAAACTTGTTGAATGCTTGATAAACCATAGATGACTTCTGGAGGGTCTGGACAAATCAGTTCAGTGTCTGTTACACCTGTAAGACAGGAATAGTACTTTTTTTTTTTACTCCAGAAGCATGCTTTGAAGAGAAATTCACTAGTGTAAGTATTTCTGCCCTTCCATAAACAAACCTAAACACAAATGAAGTATTTTTATTGCTGTTGTATTGAGTGTTGTTTAAAGTCTCTTCCATTGGTAAGCCATGTGTATGCATCATTATATTGTTGTGCAGGAATGGCTCTGTGACTCTGCTTTTCATTCAGAAAAAATTTGGGGGTTTTTTGTCATAATGAGATGCCCCAGCTTTGGGGAGAAGTATAGCTGCAAGATATCTTAAAGGAACTTGAGTTGCCAGTGCCCAGGGTCGTCTTGAATTAAGAACTAGTTTTATGTGGTTTGTGTTAATTGCATGGATTCCTCAGTGTTTGAAGGAATTTGTATGGTGTTTTGGGTTTCAGGGTTTGAGTAGGATAGGCACACACAGAGATAGATAGATAGATAGATATGTGCATATATATATATTTAATTCTGGAAGTCTTCTTCCATGCATTTCTGAGATTAGATTTGACTGTTCTGTTATATGAGAAAAAACTTCTTTTTATTTGTTTTGCTTTTGCACTGGAGTTAAAACTGGGACTGGTCTATATGAATCAGTGTATTATTGTCTAATTGTGCATGTGTCATACCCACAGAGAACTCTTAAGTGGTGTAACTCTGTTTTACTTGCTTTGACTCTGTCTTGCAGAGTTCCAAAGTGCTTGCAAAGAAGGAGCTCTCCTACATGCCTATCATCGGCTGGATGTGGTATTTCCTAGAGATAGTCTTCTGTAAGCGTAAGTGGGAGGAAGATCGGAAAACAGTCATGCAGAAGCTGCTGAATCTCCGGGACTACCCTGAAAACTTTTGGGTGAGTGATGACTAACAAGTGGAGTGTGAGGTGCTGTAGTGCTTGGCAGGGTGAAGGGCATAGACAGTATGAGATAGTTGCCAGGTTGCTCCTGGGAACTTTGACTCATGAGTTTCCTGGCAGTATCAGGAGAGTATTCTCTAAGAATTGAATTCTCTCTTGAATTTCCCATGTATAGCCTGTCTTGTCTGTTTTCTTCCTCTGTAGTATGGACCCCTACAGATGTTACTGTAAAAATACCTCCACTGTGATCCATGGTGGTGTAACAGGTGCATGTGACAATGTTGTACTGAAACACTTTAGCACCTAAGCTCCCCTCTCACCTTAGATTGATGAGTTCATAATAGTATTTTCTCCATTCATTTCCCTGTCATTCTGCCATTCCTGTGAAGGTGCTAGGTCAGACATGGCCCAGTAGAAGTGGAAGCCACAGATAAGTATCTGGTCAGAGAAGTGGCCCCTGGGGCCATCAGCTGTGTTACAAGGAGAGGATTGGTGTCACCTTTCAGTAACAAGAAAGTGTTACTTTTTGTATCGTCATCGTTTTTTAGTATTGAGCCTGCCTGGCATTTCCAAGTCTGGGAATGAGAAGCCTTTGAATTTTTTTTCCTTTTCTCAGTAATCAGAAAAATCCTAGTTCTCATGAGCTGATGATGGCAAGAGAGGGATTCAGTTAAGGAAATGGTACCTTAAGCAGCCTCACAAGGGCCTACAGAAACTGTTGCTGAAGAAGCGGTTTCCTAGTGAAGATGTATATGCTGTATCTCTCATTCTCTGAAACAAAACTTTTTTTTTTTAATTGTCATTGATTTAAATGAGCGCTAAGCAATCAAAACTAAGCTCTGTGCTTGGATAATGATTAAATGACTTCTAGGCAGGAGGCTGTCTAGCAATGGGACAATTGTCTTCTAGTTCTAATCTCTCTCACAGGGATTTGCCTGTGCTCTGTGACTCTTAAAAGGTGTCAGATGCCTTTCTATACACCTAGGCAGTTCAGCACTAATTGGTGAGCACAAACGGCCACCATTCTTTATATACTGCTGTAGAGGGGATTATGAAGAAGGAGCTATACCCATAGTAAGAGAGACGCAGTTGTTGATGTACACCTGGGGTTATTGCAGTGTGGAGTTTTAATTTGCCTTTGTGTGGTGACATAGTGTCAAAAGGCACAGCAATAGCACCTTGGAAGGTAGAAGGACAGAGCATGCTAAGTGGGCTAGAAGGATTTTCTCATCAGTTTCTGTATGTTTCATGTAGCTGTTTAACATTATGCATGTGATACAGGAGTAAAAGTGCTCGTAGATGAGCTGGAACTGAAGCTGGCTGCTTGGCTAGTTTTCTTCAGTCTTTCTGTTGGCTAAATCTTTGCTGTGGGTTATGAGGACTTAGCTTGTGTGATTTGGCAATGCTCTCTGTGTTAGTTTGCATTCAGGCTTGGCAGAAAGCAGATGAGCAAGTGGTAAATCTCCAAAGATCTGTCTGCTCTCCCCTGCCTGTCAGTGGCAAAATTGTAATAATTCATGTCTGAGCACTTCCACTGTATAGTTCATAAGGGGATAAGGCTTTCAGTTGTCTTGCATCTGCTGCCTTACATCTGTTATCAGCTCAGTCGTTGGCATCAAAGCTACTGTCTGCAGTTGTCTGTGGTCTTCATGCCGCAGTGAAAGCAGGCAGGTTGGAGTGAGGGGAAGCAAGCTGGGCACTGAAGCATTTCCTAGAAATGTGTTTGGTTTAGACACTTACCAAGTTTTAGATACCATGATACTCGAACACCTTGCCATCAGTGAGAGGTATGCAACAGGAGATATGTTTTGAGTGTTTTCTAACATCTCATTAGAGATGGAATGACTCATTTAGAGAAATCAAGTAATTCTGATAGCAAGTAGCCGAGCAGATGTTAAAGCCTGAAGGCTAGAGTTCAAACCAGAGGACGGCAAGTTGGATGGGTGGGGCAATTGAGAGGGTTTGGTTTTGGCTCTTTTTTTTTTTTTTTTTAACTTCAGGGCAATTAAATTGCCTAAATGTATATGTGACTACACCTGTCCCTGCTAGGTGTGTTCATTTGGGCTCTGTTGGTGGGAATTAGAGAGGCCTCTGGTCAGACAGATGTAGAAGACCTGAGCTGCTGTCTCACTGTAGTTCTCTCTTGGTTTTAGTTCCTGATTCATTGCGAGGGCACAAGGTTCACAGAACAGAAGCACCAGATTAGCATGCAGGTGGCTGAAGCCAAAGGACTGCCCAAGCTCAAGTATCACCTACTGCCACGAACGAAAGGATTTGCTGTCACCGTGCAGTGTTTGAGAAATGTAGGTAAGGAAAGTCACAAGGAACAATGCTTAAATGGTTATTTCATCTAACTGCTGTTACTTTGCCATGCTCTTCTTTTCCCTGTAGCATGTGTCCTAGCAGAAAAGTCCTGGGATCCTTTCTGACCTTCCTTCCACTAGCCTGAGAAAATTAAAGATTAGGTTTTACTAACAAAGTCCTGGGGCAACTTGGTTGGGTTTTTTTTTTTTTAAACTTTTTGGTTTTTTTCTGTTACTGTGAGTCTTTATCAGTGGATCTCAAGTTGCATGTTTCATACGTATTGCCAAAGGATAGTATTTCTTAGTATTTACTAAGCAATCCTATTCTAAATGAAGCAAATACGTCACTGGAGAATCTGAGGCAGTGTGTCTTAAATATTTTCTTGTGGTAAATATCTGTGTCAAATAACACTATTTTTAAATTAAAAAAAAAATAATCTTTAATTCAAAATGTTTTATATTTTTGTATAGATGTAACTCTTTAGAGTTTCTTTGTGAGCTGGGGAAGGGAAGTAGATGTTGACTGAAGATATATGTAGGCGAAATTTATAAATAAATTATTTCTACATTATAGAACACGAGGAAGTTTTTCTTTGTTAATGTTGTTCTGAACTCCCCACCCCTCAGTTATTTCTGGTTACTTGCATTTGCCAACTTTAAAGTTACATCAGTAAGAATATGGCACACATGGCTTTGAAGGGATTTTGTTTGACTAATACAATCCATCAAAGTCTTCTGCTGTGTGCTTCATGGGCAAAGGAAAGACAGTGCTAAGTAGCCATAGTGCTACGGTATCTTTGGGGTTTGTTAGATTTGTGTGTTGTTAAAAGGCTGATATGCAAGAAAGACAAAGTGGTTATAGTGGTTTAGAAGAAAATGTTCTAGCTTGACTGAAGTTAATGTCAAAACTTCTTTAGTCTTTGAAGACATGTTTTCATGTGGCATATCTGGGATAGCTACTGTAAAAAAAGCTTTGCAGTCAGCTGTCTTGCTATCTGTCATGTTTCTTCTACATATCCTCTTGCAAGTCAGGTAGATGATACCACTGCTGTAGCTTGTCAGGCACCCACAACTTCCCGCCCTCAAAATAGATAGCGTAGCTTGGATCTTTTCTGGTATGTGAACACATTATGTGCAACATGCAGCAACTCCCTTAAGGGCACAGTTTAGCCTTCCCTTTTGAATCAGGGTGACCGTTTTGCTGAGGGTGGGGGAGGTAGACTTGAGGCATTGAAGAAGAGCTGAGTCAAAACTCTGTGAACTCCAGTGCCCTGAGCTGGGAATCACGGACAGGTTATTTTGGTGGTGATTTTGTTCTTTTCACTACTCTGTAAAGCAAGCAAAACGTGGTGTGATTGTGGACAAGTAGTTAATTTGTGGGAAAATGTTTCAAAAGGAAACAATTTTAGGGAACCCAAGTGATGTTTATAAAGAGTTTTGGGCATTCATACAATACACTGCAGTAACACTTCTTAGGATCCTAAATATTTGAAATACCTTCAGAAAAAAGACTGAGATTGCTAGATTACTGACATACTACAGGAAATGTATGTTACTACCTCAATCCAGAAGCTGTGACTTGCTAGATCAAACAGGGTAAGGCTGATATTTCCCTGTGAAGGTTCAAGGAGAAGCAAAGAGATTCGTAACTTGTCATAATAGTCTTTGTTGAAACTGTATAGCTTAAAAACCCAACCAACAAACCTCTGAGGGAAACGGCTGATGACCTCAGATTGGCATCGCAAATTCTTCTGGGTGTGTTGCTTTACTTGCTTTGTAGCTTTTTGCAATGAGAGAGAGAGAGAGAGGATAAGAGTTACTGTCTGGGTTACTATATGTTTCTCTCCTAGAGAGACAAGGGGTACATGTGAAGAGCATTTGAAAGGCCTTTGTAAACAATATCTTATTTTTAGAGCTCCTTGTAATGTTAGTATGTGCAGGTAACAAGGAAGTCCATAAATGTTTTTTGAATAGAGAACGTGATGGAGGTCTGCTTTGACCACCCATAATCTAGAAATGTCAGTTCTATCTAGAAATTATTCCTTTCTTGCCTGAATACTGATAGGATTTGACCAGAGATACTGTTAACCTGCACTGACATTTGGTACCCATGTTATAAGCAGTAATATGCTGTTGTCGGTGTCAGTACATGCAGAGGCTATATGCTATAGTAATTTGGGCATTTTTTTCATTTGAATATTGGTAAGTCTCATTGTTATGCTCTGCCTTATAATGTGGCTCAGCCAGTGACTGTATCCCTCTAGTACAGCCTCAAATTACTACTTCTAAACAGCATCAGTGTGACTGCTGAATTGCTGCTGTCTGCAGAAAAGGCAATGGTAACATGCAGATGTTCGTAACTTCAGTTCAGTGACATCTCTAATGACCTACAAGAATGACTCTTGCAGGCTGACCTGTCTCTCTCACTGTCCAATTCACATCCATTTCAGTGGCCAAGTCTGCAGTGGGGTATCTGTGCACCTCTCTGAAAGTGAGAGACTGGTGCTGAGCTGCCTGAGCCCATTTTGGGGCCTCCCTCTTAGGCTAATGCACTTTCTGCTCTTCCACAAGGGGTGGTGGGCCTGGCTGGAGTGCCTTGCTAAGGGAGATAGCTGCAGCATGACACAGCAGTGAAAGCAAGCCAAATGGACCGAGTTCCAAGCTGGGTGTGACAGAGGTCAGCATTTCCTTTTCCTCTATTCTTTGTTCTTCCTTGCTGACAAGGCTGTGATTCAACCTGTCTGAGGCTGTAGTACTATAGGATGGATGGGTGCTGGTTTCTGTGGCTGTAGAGGTAATTCACCCAGAATAGCAGTGATCACACCTTGGTCCTTTTCAAAACCTTGTATCAACTCTTAATGCTGCCTGGTGTGGTGGTTCTGTGTCTGCTGGAAACAGACATTGGTGACATCAGTCTGGCAAGTCCATCTGTTTTGAAAAACTTAGCTTCAGAAGGAGTTTATTTAATGTGTGTACATGGGAAACTGCCTCCATACCAGTGAAGCCATATCTGTCAGCATGAGCAGGTATATTTGGAGAAAAATACCTTTCAGACAAAATAACCAGTAAAGAGCCTTCCCTCCTAACTCATTTCTTTCATAAGTGATAATGGAATTCTTTTCTCTTCAGAGACTTACTTTCACAAATTCGGATTTCTGCACGCAGCTTGATTCTTAAAGGACTGCTTTTAATATTTTTTTAACTTGTTCTGATATTTCTACCAGTGGCCACCTCTACTAGTTTGGTAGTACAGATGCAGTCCCCAGGAACTTCTAGAAGCTGTTTATCTTAATAAATTACTGTTTGGTTGTATACTTTGCTTCCTACCTGTACTGTTCATGGAAGCAAATGAAAATACAGATCTGTTTCTAAAACACTCATCTGTTACAGTAAAAATAAATGTCATAAATGTTGCAAAAGATATATTTAACTGTTACTTTTATTGCCTGGCTGTATATCAGGCAGTTCCTTTCAGCTGTTTTTATTTAGTTAAGACTTGTATTTAAAGTGTGCCTCATGATGGATTGTAGATTACTCCAAGTTGTCAACCTTTTACTCCAATTGTGCATGCTGGGAACTACTGTCCTAGAGGGAATGCATGAGAATAAATTCCAGGGTGATGTCCTCATGGAGTTCAATATGACAATGTTTGGGGGCTTTGCACGTACTTTTTTTTTTTTGTTTTCCCCCCACCAGCTGCACTTTAGTCCTGGATTTTTTTCCAATGTTTAGTGAGGCTCCTAGTCATCCTCCTCAGCAAGCTACCAAGTTTGAGAAGATGAGTGATTTTTGACCAAGATGACCAGAGCAATGAAATGCTAAATCAAGGGATTGTGTCAAGGTGGTTGTCATACCAGCAGTACAGTGAATACCACCATCTCTTCCCCTCCCTTTCACAGTCTTCACTTCAGATCATAGTGTGCTACTATGAAGCTGTGTGTAGACATACTCATTGCCTGTAGGTTGATTTGTCAGATGATCATTCTAGCATAATCCACCATGTCCACAAAATAATGCTTGAAATTCAAGAGGACAGTTGAAGTAAAAAAAAAATCCTTTCTAGACATGTAATCTGAAGAATTCTTAGGTCAAAATTAAGAAATTAAATCTTAAATTCTTAAGTTCGTAGCTCTCTGAGATTGCTGTACAAGGAACCAGAAGTTAAAGATGTAAAAAAAAGCTGGGCAGAGATTAGAAAACAAAACACAAAAACTAGCCTTTTTTTGTCAGAAAATGGCAATTCAGCTGGAAAAATTTTGTTTTCGGTTATGATCTGTTCTGAGCCTTTGAAAAGGCTTCAAATATTGAATTGTGTTTTGGTTTTTAATGAAAAAGATGTTTTAAGATAACTTCTTTGACGAAAATACTGTATTCTACAATTGAAGCAAAACTTCTCAAATGCTCCCTAAATTAGACTGAGAGTGGGACAATTGCAATGTTTTCAAGATACTGTGGAGTTATTTTTTTACTTGCTTTAGAACGTGAAATTTCTGAACTCTTCAGCTTTTGGATGAGAAAGTCATGAGATGTCCAGTTCTAATTATGTAATTACAAAATACACACTTAATGAAAAAAATTCTTGTGTGTCATGCAGCATGCTAGTGCTGCTTTGGCTGTGGAAGCTTTCTGGCAGGTCTTGATTCTGTGCTGTCTTTTTGTTTGACACTTCTACTGTTTTTCTTTTTCTGCAATTTAAAACTGGAAAAGCTTAAGTCTTCAGTTATTTTATATCTGGATATAACAGAGATCTGTTTACTCCTGCACATGCTGTCATTGCCTTGGATTTGGCACTGCTTCGCACCGAAAGATTTCAGTGTGGTATTCAAAAGGACTGGGTGGAATATCAACATACAGACCAGCTACAAACAGGAATGGGATATTCCCTGGAGTGAAGGAAAAGTCTGTGTGTGGCCATCAGCACATAAAGGTGTTCCTGACCAACTCTGAAGAAGTTTTTTCAGAACAGGAGAAGCATTTTCCAATGTGTCTGAACAAGCACCCAAT